TGATCGACGTAATATTTAGGAGAGTGATTGGTCTTTAATCCGATACTCGGATCCTATCTCCCTCTTTGAAAATTCGTAAAACTTTACCTTGCTTAATTTTGTTGGATACTTTCTGAGTCCTCTAATATTGAGAAACAGGTTTTTCAAAGAATGAAAGGCGGTTTTGCAAGTTTCGTTTCAACAAAATAGGTGGCACTTTGTTAGGTCCTCAATTTTTACTCTCATTTAGATTTTTTTTAGCTCATTTTCTATCTGATCTTCGGCTTTCATTTCGGTAAAAGCTGTTAAAACTCTCATCGCTAACAATCGGTCTAGAATAATTATTCATTAGTTCCGCTTTAGTCTCGTCTGTAGTTACTTCTCTGTTGGTTTCTTTATGACGCATTTTAAAAGAAAGGTTGTCTTTCTGTAGACTCTTAACAAAATTGAAAATTCTATTCATGATTCTGCCCACAAAGAGCTTTTTCTCGAACTCTGTTCTATGAGTTGACTGCATTTCTTCACAGTTGCTTTCAAGCTGTAAGTACCCTAACTTCAATTGGTTTTTTTACCCTTCTTTTGTATCTTTTTACGAAGCGTCGAAAGCATGTTTAGTAAGTGCGACGTTGGGACAGTTATCCACGGTGGGAGACTCTGACGTCTCTTGGTCCCCTTAGGTGCATGTCTTTCAACGATTTCATTTATCCAGTTATCATACCACAAGTGTGTGGTAACATCAAAATTGCTGTAGCAGTTAAGTTGAAGCTTGTTTCTGCTTATTTCGGACAATATTTCCTGGTAGTTACAGTAGCTGTAATAATTCTCTAATTGTTTCCTCGCAATCAAGTAGTTTAGGTTGAAAAATAAAGGATAATGATCGGAGAACCCTTCCATGGACAAAACTGGTTCAATGCCGGAGCTGAGAGTTTCATCTGATGTTAGGATGAGACCTAGTATTAAGAATTCGGAGTCCTGAAAGTTACATTTTGAGTCAGATTGAAATCAATCATAAAAAGATGTTCTTCGTCGTACGCGCAGTTCGTTCCGTATGTATTCCATTCGATTTCGGGTAAGTTAAGATCTCCGGCAGATTTTCCGGTTAAGATTAAATTCAGGGTGCACAAATCTTTTTAAAATTGAAGAATTTATCATATTCGATTGAGTTATTCTGTAGGGATGGCCCCGATGATGGATTATACAGAAAGCAATATAATGTTAAAAAGAGTCTACTTTTGCGACTAAAAATGGAGACTTGCGTGATTCGGGTAGTAAATCAGAGATGAAAATTCCATGTTTTATGGTGTTTGTAAATGCAATCACGCACAGCCATAACACATTTTTTTTCATTTAAAATTTGTCTATTTGACCCATGAAGCATCAACTGGCCGTTTTTGATTGCAGAAGTGAGCCAAGTTTCAGTAATGAGCAGGGCATCAAAATTATCGAGATGAAATAATAACATAATTTCATCTCGATAACAGTTTTCAAGATTATTTTTTGGCTTTGTACTTTTTAATTCGGTAAAAACAACATTTTTTTCGAGTAATGCATTGTGCACACTCCAGATATGTAGATTGTTGATGTCACACCCAGGCTCCTCAAACTCATTTTCATTGCCTCCGAAGTCAAAGCTTCAGGTCGTCTGCAAAAAGTAGCACTAGGAACGAAATAACAATAGTCGGGATGACCGAACCTTGGGGGAAATCTGAAGTGATTGCTCTTTCGCTCAATTTTCTTGGGTTAACTTTTACTGTTGCGTTCTGCCCGTCAGATAGTCTTTAACGAGATCTAAAAACTGGCTTGAGAGGCCAAGTGGGAGGACATTCTTAAGAAGAATTTCATGTTTTATCATATCGAAAGCCTTGGAAAAGCCAATAAGTATCAAAAGACAGTGCTGGTCTTGTGCTCCTTTGTCTACGTAAACCTTCGATAGGCTAAAAAAAGTTGTACAATAACTAATTTTCTTGGTTTAAATCCAAATTGGACATCAGACAATATTTCCAGAAACAGTTTAGCTATTCTCCCAAACATTATTTTTTTGAAATGATCGACGTAATATTTAGGAGAGTGATTGGTCTGTAATGCGATACTCCGCTCCTATCTCCCTCTTTAAAAATTGGTGAAATTTTAACTTGCTTAATTTTGTTGGATACTTTCTGAGTCCTCTAATACTGGAAAACAGATTTTTCAAAGATTGAAAGGTGGTTTTCAAGTTTTGTTTCAACAAAGTAGGTGGCAGTTTGTCAGGTCCTCAATTTTTACTCTCATTTAGATTTTTTTAGCTCAGTTTCTATCTGATCTTCGGTTTTCATTTCGGTAAAAGCTGTTAAAACTCTTATCGCTATCAATCGGTCTAGAAAAATTACTCATTAGTTCCGCTTTCGTCTCGTCCATACATACTTTTATTTTGGTTTCTTTATGAGGCATTTTAAAAGAAAGGTTGTCTTTCTGTAAACTCTTAACATATTTGAAGATATCATTCAATATTCTGCCCACAAAGAGCTTTTTCTCGAACTCTCTTCTATCAGTTTACTGCATTTCTTCACAGTTGGTTTCAAGCTGTAAGTACCCTAACTTCAATTGGTTTATTACCCTTCTTTTGTATCTTTCTACGAAGCGTCAAAAGCAAGTTTGGTAGGTGCGACGTTGGGGTAGTTATCCACGGTGGGAGACTGACGTCTCTTGGTCCCCTTAGGTGCATGTCTTTCAACGGTTTCATTTATCCAGTTATGATACCACAAGTGTGTGGTAACATCGAAATTGCTGTAGCAGTTAGGTTAAAGCTTGTTTCTGCTTATTTCGGACGATTTTTCGTGGTAGTTACAGCAGCTGCAATAATTATCTAACTGTTTCCTCGCAATCAACTAGTTTAGGTTGATGTAAAAAAAGTAAGGAATAATGATCGGAGAATCCTTCCGTGGACAGAACTGGTTCGATGCCGGGGCTGAGAGTTTCATCTGATGTTAGGATGAGACCTAGTATTAAGGATTCGGAGTCCTGAAAGTAAAATTTTGAGTCAGATTGAAATCAATCAATAAAGAGATGAATTCTTCGTCGTACGCGCAGCTCGATTCGTATGTATTCCATTCGATTTCGGTTAAGTTAAGATCTCCGGCAGATTTTCCGATTAAGATTAAGGTCAGTGGGCAAAACTCTTTTTAAAAATTGAAGATGTTTATCATAATCGATTGAGTTATTTTGTAGGGACGGTCCCGATGATGGAGTATACAGAAAAGCAATATAATGTTAACTAGAGTCTACTTTTGCGACTAAAAAAGGAGACTTGAAGGATTCGGGTAGTAAATCAGAGTTAAAACTTTCATGTTTTATGGTGTTTTTGAATGCAATCACACTCCACCATAACACAATTTTTTCATTTAAAGTTTGTCTATTTGACCCCGGAAGCATCAGCTGGCCGTTTTTGTTTGCAGAAGCGAGCCAAGTTTCAGCTATGAGCAGGACATCAAAATTATCGAGATGAAAATCTACATATTTTAATCGTCTTTGCAGGCTTAAAAGGCTTCGTGTTCTATATAGAAAGACTCTCGGGTTTGATGATAGTAAATTAACTTCCTTCTGGACGTTAATTCTCTTTTGTTTCTCCTTCTTTTCGATTCGACTAAGTAGCCCACGCACCGTGTAAATAAATTCTCTGCTTCAGCTCCATCCTTTCTTTGCGTTTTCAATCATAGCCTAAATAGATTCTCTAGTTCTGATTGAATAATCCTGCGACAACTGTTTTCCTATAGAGCTCATCTGCTGATTTCAAGTTTCGGAGGGTATTTTTGGTAGGAGAAGACAAGCACTACTTCGTGTGAACTACCTTCACTACATTGAATAGTACAAGGTTCCTTTCCCTTTCTCACTAAGTCTAATTTTTCATTTTCTTGTTGTTCGAGGGTGTGCTTCATGATTATTTTCAGATTTTGGTAATGTACCGATTTAGTAGTTGACCACGATGACTTAATCTCAGCTGGTATTTTATCCTCTTGTTCTATTATTTTGTTCATTTTCAGTTCAAGGTTTGTTTGAAGATTTGTGAACTTTCAATCGATTTCCTTTTCAATGGCTGTGTTTGTCGTCTGAATTAGTTCAGTTTTGTCTCCAATCTGCTCTTCAATCTTGTCCGATTTCAACTTCATCTGCTCGTTAACATTTTCGTTGGACTCATGCTGCAGTGCCTTCTTGTAGTCCCCTTCACAGGCTTTGCAAAGCTATATTAATCCATATAGCAAAGCTATATTGGCTATTCCTGCGCAGGACGCTGACTGGTACCATGTTCCACAGCGAATGCCCGAAAAAGTTCTGTCTTTACATTCTGCGGTACATTCCCCACAGGTGTACTTTGTTGAGCGGAGACTTGTTTTTCACGCCATAACAAGGTGGAAGCCGCTCTCAATTTGGGCCCTTCTAACCAATAAAGATTAAAGCCCCAAAAGAGTTGCAAGCAAAAACATGAAACATAAATTCAGTTACCGTTTTTCTTTGAAAAACTTTTGATAAGCTGTTTTTGTTTGCGTAGCCTCTTTTTTTTCGACATTTTTTCTGCCTTTTATATCTTCTTTCTTTTTACAGAATTTTCTAACAGACTCGCTATTATTCCAACAACTGAGTGGAGCTGGGTTTCTAATACTTGGCATGGATGCACTTGACTCAAGTCAGTGATAGTTCTTCTGTTTTCGATGGGATATTGGTTGCTTCTTCGCGTCAATTATCAATATGTTATAAGATCTCAATTCTTTCAAGAAACTCTAAAACGATGCACGTATACAATTGCTTCAATTCAATATTTAAATTTCCAGAGAATGCTTTCCAGCTTATGAAGGGGGCAACTCTTAAAGTTGGTACTGCAATGTCTGCTTATTGAATTATTAATGACATCGTGTCAGGTAATTATCTTCCTAGTTCTTTCAGGTCTTCCGTTTATCAGACTGTTCTGAATGATTTTCAGGGGGTTCTTGGCGCTGGCGTTGAAGCTCAGGCCAGAACCGAGATATTTCGTCTTAGTAACTCTCGCTTACCGTAATATGGAATAGAATTGATTGTGCTGTCCAGTGAGCTTGGTACGATTAAGAATACCATAAATGCCAGCCTCTAAAGTCTCTTCTGAAAAAGGGTTATCCAATCCAATTAATCAATATGTTCACATATTTTCGCCGCCTCCGATTTGTCAGGGTAGTTTTAGAGAAAAAAGTTTCGAAAACGGTAAAAAAAAGTATACAAAGTATAAAAACAGTTGGGCGAGGCCACTAAAGCAGAGAATGTACTCACGACATGTTCTCTCTATTGGACCAAAAATCTCAGATTAGAGTGGGTAGTTTTTGGCACAGGTCAAAAGTTTTCGAAAAACGGTCAAGAATTCAAAGTTTGAAAAAACGGGCCAAAAATCAAAATTTTGACTTCCCGAGGGCCATTAATTTTTGCTTCAAAAAAATTGTATGTAGCTGTTTTTGCGAGGGCGCTTTATACAACCTGCTCTACCCATTGCACCAAAAATTTGGGTCGGTATTTTGCGAGAAAAATTTAAAGTTTCAGAAACACGGTTAAAAAATCAAAAACTCTTCCGGGGGCCATAACTTTTCGAGGCAGAAAATTTGGGCGTAGTCGCTAATGCAGGGGAGCTTCTCGCAACTTGCTCTCTCTTTTGAATCTAAAATCTCATAATTGGAAGGATAGTTTTTGAGAAAAGCCAAAAACTTTGAAAACCGTTCAAACCATCACAATTATGCCTTTTCCTTGGGTTACAACTTTTCGTTAAAAAAATTAGGCGAAGTCGCTTAAGCAGTGGAGCTTTTCGCGATCTTTTCTATCCATTGAACTCAAAATCCCAGATTTGAGAGGGTACTTTCCAGAAAACTGTAGAAACAAAAATTGGGTAAAAAAATCCCCCACACAATTTTTTCGAAGTAAGGTAGAAAGAGACAAGGCGATTATGCAAGCAGACAGGGGAGTGAAAGAACTAGCAAGAAAAAAAAACACGATCTCATAAATTTTCATAATACCTGTTTTTATCAAACAGGAACTAGATAATTTGGAATCTTAACGACAGATCTTAAGTCGACAACCATGAAGCCGAAAAATCTTCAGCAGAACTCTATAATAATACATACAGAAGTTTGAGAGGTGCATCTGTATGTATGTAGCTTTAAGTATAGTAATTTGGCTCAAATTTAACTTGGTAGTTAAATGTGAGTTTTCAAGAAATTGAGCATATCAGAATGACAAGTGATTGAACTGATTTTGTTAAACTATTTGTTAACTAGAAACAAAATCTACACTCCGGTTTGATAACGCTTATTACTCGCAAGCGTAAGAACAAGTTGATGGCGTATATGATTAGAGTTTTTGTTCCGCCAATTTCACAAAGTGGGAAAAAACTATGAGAATGTATAGTTTTTTCTCATATTTGATTTCCTAAAAATACCTTGCAGTGTTAGAGGGAACAATATGTATCATATTAAAATTCTTTAAGCCATGGCACGGGTTCGAAAAAAAATTTAAATTGTCCGTGTGGAGAAAAACTGGACTGAGTTTTTAGACTGAATTGACGCAAATATATTCTTCATTAATATATTCTTCATTAATTTGGCTATAATAATACCCAACTCAGCAACTTTTCAGTTCATTAAATCGCCATTTACACTTTTGAAACAATCGAGAATTTCGCCAACATTGTTTCCATACTTTTGAAATTCTTTACTTCTTTGTCGTGGTCGGAATATTTTGTGCTGCTAGCACAGCAAAGCAACTGTCTACACTTGAATCGAATTTCAATTTTTAATTCAAAAACGCCCAAAGAACGTCAAAAGCAAAATACTTTGGTCTTATTTGGTTTAACAAAAAATGTTCAAAGAACAATGCCACGAAAAAAATGAAGATCAATAAAAACATATGGGTAAAATGTACCAGAGAAACTAAGAATCATAAAAGCATACTGGTCGGCAGTTGAAAGATGAAATCGATGAAGCTTTTCATAAAGACCTTGCGATTTGTAATTAAGGCCAAAATGTTGGCAGTATCTTTTCGGTCAAAGAATCTAAACAAAGTTAATAAACTTAAAATTGCTCATTTTCACGTCGAATTTCTGCTTTTCACTATTTCCACACTTAAAAGACAACTTTAAAACTAATTAACCTACACTGCTGTTTTTTGACCGATTAAATTGCTCAAGGTCAACGATATTGCCAACACTTTGGCATTGACTTTTAAAAATATGAAAACTCTTCCGAGCATGAGAACTTACCCCACTGCAGAACTCTGACCCAGACACTTCAATTTTCTCAAACATCATTAACCCAAAAAATGAAATCTGTTAAATGGACTACTAAAAATAAATACGTATGCGACAGGTGTCTCTGAAAGTATCCGGTTTGTCGGTCTTCTAAGAGAAGAATAGCCCGAGTGTGCCACTCGACCAGAATGCCGTTAGAGAAAAATTCGTCAAAACGAAATTTATTTGGAGTGATTTTTGCCAAAAAGTAAATTTCGCAACTATCTGCATCGTCAGGATTTTTACAATGAACTAATCTAAATGACGTTAAAAGATCAATTTACAAATGTTATTTAGAACAATTCATGTGACATTCGACCAGAGTGACCGTGGACAGTGAAGATTTTATTGTGACCGTGGACGGTGAAAATTGGCGGTTTTAGCAGATTAGCTGTACTAATCTGACGATTTCACGAATCGGGAACGGTCAGTTTGGCGTGACAAAATGAATTTTAAAAATGGTACCGTTCGCCCGGAAGTACATATCGACGGAAAATAAAGCTAGGATCTGAAACGACTGGCTAGCGTTGTAACAGTCGCCTACTTCAGTCACATATGAGGCTTAAGAAAAATAGGCCCTATAACCATTGGCTCAAGAGTCAGGGACACTATCTCTTGTGTTTTTCTACCTCAAGAACGGTCGGAGCCAATTCGGTTCGCTTGCGACATGAGACTAAAACCCGTTACAGCTTAAAGGCTACTACCAAAATATCCCCCCACTCTAGAAAATAAGAACGTCCCCATACTTAGGTCTCAAAATACCCAAAATACGCGAACGCCGTTAAAAACAGGGTCGGAACAATCCGTTAAGTTACTTTTTATTGGACAGTGGAGCTTTCATCCATTTCAGATGGATCAACCTAAATGTGACATTCGACCAGAATGTGAAAAATGCAATCTCTGCAGAATTCGGAATTTTAGCAGTGAGCCTTCCGGATTGGTGGTTTTTAAGAACTAAGAGCGTTATTGGAACGTTTGGCCGGACGGTGAGGGCTGGAATATTCTAGTATTTTAAAATTTCAAAAATTCGAATGATGACGTCACATTTCTGAGAAATGCTGAAACGGCCATTTTTAACAAAAAACGAGAGAGAAAACACAACAACATTAGTTGCGCTGACGATAACAACGATAATCGTGATTGAAAGACAGCAGCAGATTGCAGAGAACGTTCCGAGTTGCAACTATTGTGCTGCTACAATAGTTGCAAGGCCGTTGCGAACAACGGTGAAGGGTAAGAAACCAGCCTTCCGAATTAGGAAGAAATCAAGATCAACGAGCTTGATTCAGCGGATTCAAGAATCCGGAAGGGTCTCGGGACGGAAACTTTTATTGACTCGTGTGAACTTTTAGCATCCTGTCATGTCCTGACTTGAATTTAACTGATATTTGGATTCATTTTGACAAGGATGAGGTGCTAGGAGTTGGGGGGGGGGGGGGGGGAAAGGGTTGATCCATCTTCGATGGAGATGATGATTTTTATCTACTGAACAAAAACAATAGTAATATAGTAAGTAGTAGCCCTGTTTTTAGGAGTGACCTCGTGGTCTGGGGATACTGAGACCCAGCCATGAGCTCACTATTTCTGCATGTAATCTAGTTAATTTGAGTGTTTTGACCGAAGCCGAAGGCAGTAACGTTTTTGTCGACCCGATGTTAGAAAAGACCACCGAAATGTACTGGCTTGGTAGAGACGGTGAAAAGCATGCAAAGCTCTGTTTAGACGCTAGCCAGTCGTCTTAAGACTTAATTTGGTTTTCCGTCGATATGTATCTTCCGGGCGAATGTTACATGTATGTTTTTATGGCGCTCCTGGGTGTTATTCTTTTATAACATCATGACCGGCGGAACCGTTAACGAGCACTCCGCGCCGAGCGGATGCTCACATTAACGCCCTTGATAGGCCTAAACCGCCGGGGCGGAAGGGTAGTTCGGAACGCGGAGGCCTTCCGAATTGCCGTGAATAGTTTTTTAACCTAGTTAAGACCGAAAATTCACGAATCAGGAAGGGTGGGGGGATCGGCCGTCCCCTCGTCCCCTGAGTGGTTTGTGACCAAAAACACTTAAAGATATAAATAAAACCAAACAAAAAGTAGTATAGTACCCAAGAAAAACACAAAACATAAAAAATAACCAAAAAAAAACAAAAACAGTAAAAAAGTAAAAAATCAGTAGAAATCATCCCCCCAGACAAGATGTGATTCAACCCCCCCGTTTGTTGTTGATAGATATATTGTTGTTGCAGTTATTTATATCAGTCAGGATCGTTACGATCAATTTTGTGGCCCGCTTGTGAGGCTTGTACTGTAGGGTTATTTGAGCATTTAAGCACGTTAATGATAAATTGCGCTCAATCCGGAGGGGTCAGCTGATTTGCGCTCAATTCGGAAGGGTCTTGGGTGAAGACCGATCCGGCAAGCAGTACAAGGAGCAACAAGAAGGGGCTCAACGACAACAACAATCGTTTGTTGGGTATCGTTAACAAGTTTTGTATCCCTTTTGGTACAAAAAGTAAGATAGTAATCTGTGGGGGGCTCGACAGTGCTGCACTGTAGTGACCCTTCACCGAACTGCGAATATCCGAGTTAAGCACCTTAATTCGGATATTAAACAAACCCGGAGGGGTATAGTATCACTAATATTATTACTTATTTAGCCTATATTAATAGTCTTATATCGATTTTCAGTAAAAAAAAACAACGAAAACAGACCGGTTTTTAGGATCAAAATTGCGATATTTTGATCCCCCCACAAGTCGCGATTTTTGAGATATCGATATTTTTTGAAACGGAAAAAAGCGCTAAGTTAGTGT